CTACTAGGGGCTCCTGGCATCGCTACTAGGAGCAAGGACGCTACTAGGTGATCGGTTTTTTGGGGGTTGCGGTGACTTGTCCCTTCTGCGAGCACGGACAGATGGTGAGCCTGACGTCGGTGCTTGCTGCGGAGCTGACGTGGTGTATTGGTCATGTGTGATTTGATGTAATGAACAAATATAATAGCTTCTTGCTCCCAATAGTAAGGCCAGGAGCCCCTAGTAGCGTCCTTGCTCCTAGTGGCGATGCCCTTTGCTCCTAGTAGCGTTCGTTTATAATGCGGGAACGATTAGGAAGGCTGAGGTTTAGTGTTAACGATGGCCTCCAACCTGCTAGAAGACTCGACCATGCGGGAATGGTCGAAACAAAACCAAGGAGCCAACAACTTGCGACCGTCACTCCCGCAAAGTGGCGAACATGTGCGGAAGACTTGTCAGACCAGGATGCCCATCTTTCTCACTGTGCTGGTCTGTAGCGCCCCATGGCGCAACGAAGGCCTTCCCTTTGAGATGCCTTAAATTCACCGTCAAAATGACAGCCGTGCCTTAGACAACGGCCAACCTCCTTGTCAAGGAAGCTTCTACAGGCTTGGATGAGAACAAAGGCATTTTGAGCCACTCCTCCAACCACAAATCTAGACAAATGCAGCTCTTATCGCGGCATCGAGTTCATGTTGCCATGCACACAGCCTCTTTCAACTGTGGATGGACTAGAGTAATGGCACCTGTGCCACCATCAGAGGCTTCGAAATGCCCATCCAATAACCAAGGCTCCAAGCGATGGTACCGCAATCGCACCACGATTGATCCCCATGGATATGTCTCTGTCCATTCCACATTGGGTCGCTGCACAAAGCCCTCCAACACACCTTCGAAAGAGGTCGAGCCGACCACTGTGCCGCCTTGAAACTCTAAATGCCGCTCTTCACATCTAGTCTTTTGCGTCTTACCTTTGCCTTCTTGAAGGGTCGCTGACCACAAGCCAGAAGGAAGGATATACTTGTCATCATCATTGGATTCCTTCGAACCCTGTCTGGATGACCGTTGTTTTGAGCCTGCCCTTGAGCCCGAAGGAGTCTGCAATGCCTTGGATCCTTGCCTGGATCCTGGCCTTGAAGGAGGCATCGATGGAGGCCTGTCTAGCCGTCCTCGGGGGATCTCACTGGCCGCACTACCTCTCCTCACTCGATCATCCTCGGCCGGTGATCTCGATGTCGGACTTCCCGGATCAGAATTTCTTCGATCGTCCGTTGCAAGATAGTTCTTCCGGTGATACTTCCTGGAAACATCCGTATGGGTGCGTGAGAAGATCTGCCTGTTTTCAGCTCTATTCTCCTCCTCTGAGGATCCTCACAGGGCTTAACGAGAACTTAAACAGCTGTTTGAAAAAAGACAAGTGTTTAAGCAAAAACGCCTAAAACCCATAACAGTTTTTTGGATGTTTTTGGTTTCATTTCAAAGAGTTCCAACCTGAGGACAACGATCTGGAGCTGCGCTGTGAAACTCGAATCTTGGGTGGCTCCAGCGAAGCACCTGGTTTTGTCTTGGGGCATTTCTTTGCCCGGCCTCCAACCTAGAAGCCATGGCCTCCACCTAATAGATCCTAATAGCAATGGCCTCCACCTAATAGCGATGGCCTAATAGCACCTCAAGCATGTTGGCTCTTGTTAAAAGCAAGTCTTTACATCAGTTCGTGGGCATGTGGAATTCGGTGAAAGTCATATGTACGAAGGATCTTTTCCAAAAGAACAAACTTGCCGTTGGGGCGCCTGATTTCGCAGTAGGGATCATCAGCGAAGCCTTTTGGCGATCATGGTTCGGTCTGCTGCGAGAAGACCGATCATTGTTACAGTCACAACAGACTGCAATCTTCATTCCGATCTCCCAGCACCGCTTGCAGGCGTAAAACTCCTTGTCCTCTGAGCTTCCCAAGATAAAGCCATGGCAAAAAGCACAAGTGATCCTGTCTGGGACCATGGCAGCGCTACGTTTCCCAGTAGATGTCTTCAATGGAAACGCCTGTGCAATTGTGTAGACCCTTTGCATGTCAGAACTCTTGCAATCTGTATGCGCTTGTAATGCAGCTTTATCTTCCTCCAATTCTTGCTTTGTCTTCTTCTTTGGCGCCACGACGTCATCGTCCTTCTCCTTCTTCAGAAGCGAAGTATCCTTGCTAGAGACAAGTACAACCGGTTTCGAGACTAGTAGCGATAGCCTCCAACCTAATAGAGATGGCCTCCCACCTAGTAGCGATGGCCTCCAACCTAATGAACATCTCAACATACAATACATGGAGCAAGGTTCAACAGTGTGAGAAAACATGCCTTTGAGCGCCAAGCCGCATAGCTGGGTTTTGCATAAGCTTTCTTCCGAGCACTGCTGCCACTTCCCATGTTGCGAGCAGCCCGAGCGGCCCAACGACTTGCCGCAGAAGGTGGAGCTTGTGCATCCATGTTCTTCGATTTTTTTCGTGTTTGGTTAATGAGTTGACTAGAGCCGTGACATGATTTTCAGCATGGCAAAGCTGCTTTTTGGTCCAAATAGCAGTCAGATCAAAAAATGCAAGGCAGAAGCTTCCTGCTTGTCATTCTGCTTGAAGCTGCGATGGCCTCCAACCTACTAGCGTCCTAAACGTCCCAGCCTATGCCGGAAGGCATTCGATGCAGTATGTATGTACACAGGTCGTTCTCGGCCAAGATCTGCACAAATGTAGGCCCGATGACCTGAAATGCATGAAACATAGCAGGTCCATCTTGAGTCTTTTTCGGGAGCAGGCCACGGATAGGAAGAGGTTAGCTACGAGTAGTAGCTATTATATAAGTAGGACGCTACGGCTACTAACTAGCAACTGGACGTAGAATAGCTCACGCTCGCACTGTTCATTTGGTTCCTAGATGTTTAATAGGAACAATATTATTTATGATAAAGAAATCATTCTTGGCATCTCCCAACTCAGGCAGCCACCCAAATCTGGAGAAGCAATGGCAACTCGGTCTAGCAACCCTTCTGCGATGCACTCGCCTCATTGTTCAGGCCCAAATGCAGGTTTGGCCATTTGAATAAGCAAGTCCTACATTGTAACGAAAAAATTGTTTCTGAAATGTTTGGCGTTGAATCAGTTGCGAACCAGGAGCCCGGGTCTGCAACTAGTTGAACCAATTCTGGCCAAGCCACGTAGCAATTGCACCTGCCAATTGAACGTCAATACGAAGGGCCAATGGAAACTAAGAATCGGAAATGTCCAAAGTCAAGCTGGAAAGTTCATGCATGGGACATGATATCAATATGTTTTGCCTGTCGAGGTGTCGGTGGGCGCGGAAGCAACGGCAGTTGGAGCTCAAAACCTGCTGACCTTGCATATTCTTGTCCCATGTGGTTTTCCTCACGAATGTTGCATGCCATCATGGCAGTGAGGAAGCTGAGCGCCCTGCGACAGGCAGAGTCTGCGCCTTATGTAACCCACTCAAGGCAAGGCAAAGGAGGCCGACTGCGAAGATACATCCGAGCCACTGCAAGAGCTCTGCAAGCTGTTGCATCAAGCTATGAGCCTCCAGAAACGCTATCTGCCAAGACATTGTCTTCTCCCACATGTCCTACAACGATAGCATTGCCCAGCATTTTTCCTTGCCTCTGCCATCTGGCGAGGATTGATCTTATTTTTCTGGCAGAAGGCCTCCGCGGCCTTCACAACCCGAATAGATACAAAGTTCATCTCTTCCACATTAATTTTAACAAAGAAACGTGAGGACGTAAGGACTGAAAACTAAGGGAACGTAAGAGCGTAAGAGCGATGGCCTCTAACTTAAGAGCGATGGCCTCCAACCTACTAGATCTATTAGCGATAGCCTCCAATGACAAAAATAGATGCAAGACCCTTGATGCTCTGTGCCTCATCTCCGCCTCTTGCTGCCCACGCATAGCCGCCTAAGCATAGGAGCCGTGCTTGATGGCGACAGTCAACCGGATGGGGCTCCAGCCCATCAGCCACAAGAGTCCTTCGGCGTCATCTCTAAGTTGGCTCCTCGACTTCAACGACTTGGACGCTACTAGGGGCTCCTGGCCTTACTACTAGGAGCAAGGACGCT